CCCCAAAACCCCAAAACCCCAAAACCCCTAATAATAAAATCTAAATTGAAATCAAAATGGGGAAAAAATAAGCAATAGACACCATCTGCCATAAATCACATAGCGGGCGAGATTAACCAGAATCATTATCAGAATCTTATTGATTTAACAGAAAAGAGCGATTTCAAAGATGGGTCACTTTGAAAATTCAAGGTCTAAATCAATTTTCTCTCTAAATTCTGAATAATCGCCTTTTAGAATAAAAAATTGCTTTTCATAAAAATCTCATGTATTTTCTAGAGAAACTTGCTTAAGCAAACCCTATAAAAATTCCTAAGAATCTAAAGTTTGTGGATCCTAGATAGAATATAAAACAAATCCATTTCTCTAATAGTCTTAAGCCATTGTGATGAAGAAATTTTTGTGTCTGAAGACTTGGCTTAAAAGTTTGGGAGAAAAGAGATTTATACCATACATTGGTTCATAATTGTAGAGCTGATAGTTTATATGATTTAGTGAGATGCATCTCCTAAAATACGAATGATGACCAATCTCTTTTATCAAGGACCTTGTGGCTAAAAGGAAGATAGTAAGTTTCTAACAAACATTATAAGCTTATAAAATTAAAGAGTTCCCCTTGATTCATAGTCTAGGTATAGAGAACTATCTGGTGAGCCAGTATGGAACTTTATCAAAGATATACCAGAGCTGGTAGACTATTTTCCTGATATGAGCAGGACGAGACTCCAGATTAAAAAAATTATGTTATCTATTCTTCGAATACTGAGAAGCAATATGTGCAAGAACCTCCTCAAGAAGTCAAGGAAAGCAAGAGGGTCTAAACCTGTTTATAGTCAAAATGATATGGTAGAGATTCACCTAGGTCTTCTTAATCTGTTCTCATAGGCTTGTTCTATAAAAAGGTACTTCTATTATTTTTGATATAGGAGGAAGAAGTGTAGCTTATCTCCTTAAAAAGTCCTAATCTTCTAAAGTTTGAGGAAAGAAGCCTCAGGAGCATTATTCAAAGCTAGAGCTTTTACAACAGCATTATGTCATTTCGAGGAGAGTTGAAGAAAGAAAGGAGTCTGCTCTAAGACATGAAGACCAAGTAAACACGCAAATGGACAGCAGTGACTCGAAGCCACAATGAATTACAATAAGGTGCATGAGAAAATTCCCAGAATTAACTCCAGAAGACTCCAAAAAACTATTCGAAATTCCAAAATCCCTAGAAACCACTCCGATCTGTAGTATTCTTAACTTGATTCAATAAAAAATTTCGAACATTTTAAAATTAGGAAAAGACTTTTAGTTTTGAGGTTAGGCTCCGATAATTTAGGAGCTATCTATGTTACTCCTTGTTAGTACTCGGGATTTTTAAAATTTATAGTTGGTATAGCAATTTTTAGACTGGTGTGACCTCTCCAACTAAAGGCCTTTCTAAATCTGCGTGGCTGGCAGAATTGTCTGAATTTAGTTAGTTTGCTTTCCAGAATAAGCTTATCATTAAGAGATAAAGCAATGTACTTTAGGCCTTTTGGTTTCCTCTGAATTGTAGAGGATACCCAATGATGCCACATTAGCAGGTAAAAGTTGTAGAAAAGTAATCACATACAGCTCTTACTCTAGATCCTGACTTTGTTTATATTCTTATTTTGTTTTTGCAGTACCTTAATTTCGATTTAAAATAATTAACCAATAAGAAGTTATCTTTGTGGGGTTTTGGGGTGTTGGGGTTTTGGGGTTTTGGGGTTTTGGGGTTTTGGG